GTTAATATTTTTTTTCTTTTTTTCTCCGGTTAGCTTTTTTTTGTTTGTATATTACCAAACATGTCGTTGCAATGGTATTCTATTTTAGCTTTTTTTTCCACAGAGAGTTCCGTTTGTTTCTATATACCTTAAACTTGGCTAAGTCATCAGCGTCTTTAGATTGAAGAAATTTAGTATAAAACATTCTTTTATATTTTTTAAAGAAATAGTGGGAGACCCGGGATTTTTTAGTTCTTTTCTTAGGCCTAATGAGCCTATGGGGAAAACTGTTGTTATCACTTATAAGTATCTTGGAATGTTTCCAGAAATGCTTCATAAGCTGCCCAGGGGAGTTATTTAGATAAACATTGTCCCGATTAGTTGTTTCGATGGAGTTTCGAAACGACTGAAGTTTTTCTGGCGTGATAATGCGTAGCCTAAACCCTTCACGTTTTTGTTTGTAAGTTGAAAGGTGTGCACTTGTGAGAAGAAATATCGATAAATGGTTACTCATGTTGCAGACAACTACGCCTGAAGCAGATATATCTTCGTGTGAACAGTTTGTAACAAAGTAATCGAGCAAGGTTGAGCCTTTATCTGCTCTTCTTGTTTCTCCAGTAGCAGTGCATTCGAAACCATTTGATTCAGTAACTGACAACTGTAAACAGGTCATTGCGCGCAGTGAACGTTTTTAACAAGTCAATATTCAAATCTTCCCCCAACAGGAGGGTCCTAGTTATTCTCACTGATATAACTAAGTAACGTTTCAAAAGCAGAATGAAAATTGCTTGCATTTCCAGACAGACGAGATATACTACACTAGAAACACTTTTTTGGCTGAGTAGCGACACTGATTATTAAAACTCGTTCAGTTCTGTCACCTTCAGAAAAATACTGTAAGTTAGAGATTGATTAATAAGCATTCAAACACCACCACCTTTCCTACAGTCTCGTCGAAAAGTAAAAAAAGAATGGTAATTAAGTATATCAAAGGTACTTGTGTCAGAAGTACACCACGTTTCAAAGAATGTCCCTACACTAAAAGAAGACTGCGTGGTATTGAGGTGTATTTCAAGATCACTAATATTTGATTGCATTGAAAGGAAATTCATGCGAAAAAATATAGCGCAGTGTTTTTTCTGTTATATACTGCAGAAGAAAACTCTTCTGCTGTACGACTTAAATTACGCGACGGCAAATTTTCCAACACAAAAAGAAATTGATGTGGCATTTGTTTTCATTGTTTCTGCTTACTTTTACCGTATCAGCGCCAGGTCATCTTCGCACTCAACCTTAACAGCACGATCGCCTGTAGCTTGGTGACTCACTATAAAAGCAAATTAAACCCGACGTTTAGAATATAAGATGTTCTAGTACGCTTGCTGACTGAACATAGATGGATTAAAACAAATGTTCGGCGTGTAGCATGCACACCATCTCTTTTAAAAAGCCTCATTCTCAGCTTGTTTTCTGCGCAATTTAAAAAAAAAATCCAACAAATCTTATTCGCTAAACCAACAGTAAAATTTAATATATAAATGAAGGCGCTTGAAGAGATGGGCAAAACCACCAGTGTCACATAAAGACACGGATTTCATTATGATAAAAAATATCCAATCTTGCCATCGCTTCGACTAGGTATCAGAGTGTTTTCAGTCAAAACAACATCGCGAGTTTGTCTGAGGATTCTTCGGCAACCTCTGTAAGTCATACTTATTGGGCATGTTTGACCCTGCGCAACCCGCGCAACGTAAACACTGCGTGACGCTATGAGCCTTTCAGCGTAAACAAAAATACAGAACGGCAGCCCTTCGCAACTAAATATAGGGAAAGTATGATGCATTTTATAGTTATGTTGGTGCCTCTCAATGTGGTATATTATAATAAGTATTCATCACTTAACTGATCACAATTCAGGAGCTTCTGAAGAGATTCATTTATTTAAAAGGGTGCTCCACTCCACCTTAGTGCGTTTTTTCTTTCCTTAATTTTTTTTTTCATTGACGTGATTTGAAAACATTCATCCTTTTTCCACTCAGGTTACAGGCTGTGCGCGTGAGCTCAATCTTTTCATGAAATGTATCATCGTGAGCGGCATATATAACAAACTGACCAACAGAAATGCAACCTACAACGTCTCAACGGGGATTTCGACTCTCCTTCAAGATGACGTGTCTCTTCTTATCTGTGTAGATACCCCAATATCATAAAATGACCATCAACTGAACGTCAAAGCAAATAACTAATAACAAAAGTGCCGACATTTTTTTTAATCGAACTACTACCTTTTTGTTCCATTTTCTGCAGGCCACATTTTCATGTGGCCTGCAGGTTTCTCCTGCAGGCCACATGGGTAATAATATGTTAGGGTCCATGTCATATGTTTCCACAATTTCTGAATGGAGGGCTCTGCCCTGTGCCGCCGCGCGAGATTAAAAAAGTACTGATACGAAACTGGTGTTCTCTAAAATCATTCCTAGTCTTGAAAGACGTATTTTACAACTTCACAATACCGTAGATGAAGGCATATCCTTTGCATTTTATTTTTCGCTTGAAAAGGTTTAGCGGTTCTTGTTCAAGTTTTACTCAATACTCGCAACGCAAAAAGAAAGCGGGTCAATTTTAGAAATGTATTTGTGATACTTTCATTGCGCGTTTTGGCTACCACCTTGAGAGTATTCAACAAATCAGAAAATACTTCATTTTATTTTATCATATCAGCAGATTTTAGGCAATTCTGATGTGGAACTTCAAATTTATATGCCTGCCCATTTTAGTAAGGTGTCAAAACAACATTGTCGCCAAAGAGAGAATTTGCTAAAAACCGTACACTGTCAAAATAGCAAGCATGTCTGTGTGGCGTTCGAACAATGTGCTTCAAAACAAACATTCTGAATTGTTTTTAGCTTTAAAACATGTCTGATATTGACGACTATCCAAAAGCCTTGCCTAAACTTACGGGAGGAATGTAATGTTTATCGCCACGCATATCATTCAGGTTCAAAATGTCACGCGCCTTATTGTAACCTGGGTCGCTTATCAGGTCTCTGAAAAGGACTTTACAAAAGGCATGATTTTGTGGAGAAGACGCGAAACGCTAGGACGTAAGGACAGAACGAGCGGGTTGGTATGGATAGTTAAACTTGAGGAAGAAAACAAGAAGGGACGCTAGAATGGTTGCTAGGACGAGAAGGGTCGCAAGGACGTGGATGGGTATATCAAACTGTATTCAAAACTTTGTCTTATGTTTCTTTTGGTCAATCTTTTTTTTTTCTATCACTCTATATCTTGGTTGAATAAATTAAATTTAATTATTTTCAATTGTTAAATACTCCATCGAATGCATGGCATACCAATGGTGATGCATAAAAACCCCTGGTGAAAATGGCTTTGATCTGGCGTCAAACTTAAATGCTGGAGGACAGCTGTGAGCCTTTAACCTAAAGAGATACACCAAGTACCGTCATCCGTTGATCATGCTGCTAGCGCTCCCATTCAATGCGGGCTATATACGTCGCCCCTTTGGATCACGGCGTATTCCACATGCGAATATATGGGCTCTTTATTGGCCTGCAATGACCACTGGCGACGCGAAGCTGTTTGCCAGCGCCCTGCGATTGGTCAACAGTATCGACCGTCAACCCGCAACCGTAAACCCACCGCTTTGACAACAACGAACTGCCATTTTTGGGGGTCAAGAACATCCCATCTTGCACCAACTTGTTAGTCATTGCACTATAAATGACATCTAACAGTAGTATACTCCTTCCTGCTCAACCGAAAATTAAAGTGATGGCAACATCAACAAAAATTAACATAGGTTTGCATTTCTGACGCCGCACTCGGTTGACGTAGCCGAGAGCTGTGTCAACGTTCGGCTTGGGCTCGTGTTCAATCCAGAGACGCTCCAATTGAACACGAGTAGTGTTAAATTGAAATACATTTGAAATTCAATTGGCAGAAAACCTCAAGGACTCAATCCACACGCCTTGCTTCAGGAAACACTGAGCTTTATGGCAAACAAGCAAGACGACGGGCCCCCACACGGAGCGCAAGTTCGTTTGCAGTGGTTGTCATGACGTCAGAGCTCCGAGCTCTGCTTGGCTCTGATTGAAGGATAGTGGGTAGACCTCATAGCAAGCTGCCTCAAGGGCTACCCGCTATCCTTCAATCAGAGTCAACCAGAGCTTGACGTTCTGACGTCATCATAACCACCCGGCAGAAAAAGCAGATGAACGTGCGGCTCCGCATTCACACCTTTGCAACTATATAAACAAGGCGCAAAACGCTGAGTCACAGTTTCAGCCGCGGTTTTGCGGCTCTTCCGCCCCGCTGTGTCGGCTTTGGCGAAACACTACCCTCCTCTCTTTCACGATTTTCTCTTTCATCATCTATTATCCCCTAAACCTTCTCCCCTAATTAACAATGACCGTTCGGCCCCTGGCTGCAACTCTCACGTTAGAATTTCCTCTTTTGCAAGTCTTCTCTTTCTCTCTCTCTCTCTCTCTCTCAGTCACAGCGCTGTGGACACGTGTGCGGAGCACATGATATTCCGCTGAAAAGAGCTATACTGCTTATGCCCAGATGTTCCACAACCAAGCAGGCAAGGATGGCAGCGCGTAGAATTTTATTACAGGATTGGTGTATAGTTCGTTCTCCTCACAAACGCTCAGTGGAACAGACCCTCTCACCATCGGCGGTTGCCATTTATTGGGCACGAAGCGTCTTATTGGATCCGAGTTCTAGCCAATTTCTGACAATGCACTGGTTTCCGATACAACGTGACTCAGATGAGCCCAATTTCAGCGAAACTTAACGCGACCCTTTCTGTCTAATAAGAGCCAGAATACGTGATCTAACCGCGACATATAATTGACGCATCACTTACTGAATGGCGCGTAGACTCTTGAAAGGGGTCAATTCATCCAGCGCTTCATTTAGGCGAGGTTATTGTATTCACTCTAAATGTCTTTAATATAATAAAGGGCAAGACAGAGACATGTAGTGAAATCAAAACGTACGTGAGTCTACTTCCGTTCTTGAAAGACAAGTTTGCCATGTACTTGTAGCACCGGGCGCAGGAAATTTGGTTGAAGGTCGCCTGGGAGACGTACAGCTGGTTCTCCATTCTGCAGGACCCCGGAAACTTCTTTGGAGAGGGTCGTTGACCCAAAGCACCGCCGGCGAGCAACTAAAAAAAAAAAGAAAAACAGTGTCGTCATGTATATACTTTTTCGGGGTTAGAAAACTCACTATAAAATATTCAACGCTCCTAAATTCCTGAAATTCACTTGAGGGAGCGAATCGCCGCCATTTTCAAAGAGAGCTTGTCGAACAACGAGGCTGAAAACATGATTAAACCTATAAGAACAGTCTGCACTGCGACACGGAACACATGACACGAGCACATGAACCGACATGCTCCGTGTTTCAACGCAGACGTTTTTTTTTTAGTTTTTTTTTTAGGTCTAGTCATATTGCGATTTTTGTTATTCGCCGAGCTTCCTGTGTATATTGCAGTGGTTCGCTAACCCCAAGTGCTTTGATGGAAGGTTGACTCACCAGATTTCTTAGAGTGTGCGTCACAATGATGAACCGGCATACTTAGACTACAGTTAGAATGTACATATAATTAAACGAACTGTACGACGCATATAGTGAAGAAAATCTGTAACATCAATGTAGCCATTTAAAAGAAATTTGTGTTAAAGCGATCGGTTTAAATGGGGTCTTCCTTGGTAGTGTTCGGTGTTGGTCGTACCGTAGCAAGGCCATATGATAGAGTCAGCAGCAGAGCGCAGATGTTGGTTTGACGTCATGGTGCGTGCGACAATGGCGTTGCTCCGAGCGGAGAAGGAAAGAAAGGGAGGGAAAGCGGTGCGCTAACACAAGTGTTGTAGGGAACCGCGTTCTTTCAAGGAGGAACGAGTGAAAGCTGTCGTTCGATTTCGCATCGGTGGACCTGGAACGGGAACTCGTTACATTTTTACTGGAACGGAAAAAGGAAAGGTGTTCCTATTTTTTGTACAGTTGGGCAATTTTTATTTTATTTATAATATGAAAATTCTCAAAGTATAAAAACAATATCGTTTCAAAGAGAAGAATCTCATTAACTTTTTGGTTATTTATATTAGGGTTTATTTTGTGTGGTCCTCGCATGGTAACAGTCGGGTGCGGGAGAGCTAGTGAACATTGATTCTCTTTTCAGTGCTCGAGACTGCAGCAAAAAAAGAAAAATTCTCAGTCACAGGAAAAGACACAGAAAGGGGGACGTTTCAAACTCGGCTACTTTTCTCGCTTCCACAAATCCTGCTATACCGAGAAATCTAAGGCCGACTACAGCCATCACTGAACTTCCTCAAACAGGCCCACAGTTACAACAAAAGAACAAATTACCAGACGTCGAACGAGCCCTTGTATCTCGAACATTGGTCGCTTAAAAACTACATAAAAATTAACCTTTATTCCTTTTCTCCTTGTCCCCCACCTACAAACTAAACAACGAATCCAACCTTCACGAAGACGGACTTGTAGTTTTTAAGACTGACCTTTCAAACGCCCAGCCCTTTCCTCCACTTCCTCACCGTGCGGACAGCAATATCGAGAAGCAAGTGTTGTTAAGTTCGAACACGGACATTTATAGGTTTAAACGTGTGAGATTGTTGCAAAACGCTCATGCAATGTGGGGTAACAGTACATTTGGCTCCTCTGAATCGCCCATCACAAACATGAATTCTGTTAAAAGCTGATATTTTGTAAGGTGAATATATCGACAAGTCAAACCCTGCTTCCGCTTGTTTTCATCTCCTGGTGCCCTTCCATCAAGGCATTCAAATTCGTATGTTGCCAATTTAATTGAATGGATTAAAAAAACTTTACTCGATCTAACTATATAGGTAATTGATCAGCAAAATACAAATGTAACGTGTATGTAACGATTCGTTCCATTTTTCTTCACTGTAACGGCAACGAGTTCCTTTTTCAGATATGTAACTTGTAACGATAATACGTCCCAAAAATCAGAAGGAACGAGGCACGAGCTTTCGTTCATTTTCTTTAGGAACGTGTACAGCACTATCTAACACTCACTCCTCCCTCCCGCCCCTTCTCAGCGTAGGAACGGGGGCTGCGTAGCGGGGTAGGAACAGCGCATTAGTGGAATGATCTAGTAGGAGCGTAAACCTTTCAATTAGTGCTGCTCGTTAAGAAAGATCCATTGTTAATGCACCTACATTGCATTTAACAAAATTTATCTGCAGAATAGAAAATATGTTTTATTTAAGTCAAATAAGTGAGATTTAATTGTTTTAATTCAAAGTTATTTGATTTAAGTCAGTCTCGCTTAGCATGAGATTTATTCTCAGATTCATATAAATCACTGCAGCTGGAAAATAGTGACTCTATATCACTACATGTATTTCTAAACATAGAAGATTGATTGATCTATCCGTCGAATCATTGATGACAATGGGAGAGAAAGAATTACTGCAAATGTAAGGTACAGTTTAATTATCAACTTTCTTTGTATCTAACACTGACCTAAAGAAAAAGAAAGCTTGATTTTTGTAGTTGCTTGGAAGCGTTATTTTCTTTTCTTTGACGTTATAATTTGCTCTCAATAAAAAAAAATACTTTTCTTTTTTTGTTTTTTTTTTTGTTCTGATTTTCTTACATTAGTACATTATGTTACGGAAATACAAGGTGGAAGGTGGAAATAAGATGAACTGAATGCTCCGATTAGCTCAGAAGTATTTAGGTGCTTTCTTTTCGTGTTCATCATGATATAAATCTGTCTTGCTTGGTGATTCTTTGATTTTAATACAAAACAAATGCACATAAAAAGGATAAAATAATATACCGACTGTAACCCAAAACTACGTTTGTTTCATTGTATATATAGGGTGGTTCAAGTCACCAGGCTCGATCTAAAATGAAACGTAAAAATCGACGCCTGCACGTAGCCATCTGAACTTTTCGTCAAAGGTGTAATTTACAGGTCGGTTTTTTCTTGTAAAATTACAAACCGTAGTTTTCGTTTAGTAAAAAATAGAGCCAAGAAACTTGCCAGGGTCTACGGCGGGCGGCGAATTAGACGACCAAGTCCAGTGGCGGGGAGTGTTTAACGTTCGTATTGATAGATGGCGTCGGGAGCAGCGCCTGAAGGTGCGGCCCACCAGCGAAAGATAGCAGACGACACGCAGACGAAATCCGTTAGCAGTTATAGCGCCGCCTTTATGCAGACGCGTTTTTTTTCATTAAGTTTTGCTTTTGTTGTTCGCATTTATTTTTTAACCGAAGGTACATTTCAGAAGGGTTATATTCATTTTAATAAACCACGGTGGTCGCGAGCCGTCGCGATGAGGAGGTAGCGCCATCTATCAGTACGAACTCCAAACACACCTCGCTACTGGACCCCTGTCGTCTGCGTTGCTGCCCACCGTAGACCCTGGCAAGTTTCTTGGCCTCATTTCTTACGGAAAGAAAGCTACGCTTTGTAATTTTACAAGAAAAAACCGACCTGTGAATTACACCTTTGACAAAAAGTTTAGATTGCTACGTGCAGGTGTCGATTTGTAATGTCCTTTTTAGATGGAGCCTGGGGACTTGAACCACCCTATATATATATATTTTTTTTTTTGATGGAAAGATCTGATAGTAGTTATCATTGCAAAACTGGTCTGACTTAAATCACGATTTAAATCATAATCTAAACAATAATGTAAATCACCTTGATTTTTAATATAAACCCTGCTTCTTGCCGCACGATTTTTTATAGTATTAAGATTATTTTCCAATGCATTTACAACCGGGAGGACCTAGGGTTCCTTCACGAGGACCTCGGGAGGACCTCGGGTACCTTCGGTGACCTCGGGGAGGGGGGGGGGGGGGGGGGCATGCCACGTGACCCCCCCCCCCCCCCCTAAGTACCCTTCCCTACTCCTCCTCAAGAACTGCGCTCTTATTCGGCGTTACAAGAAGTTTTATACGGCTTTCACTTTTTTAAAGCGTCCATCATTGCCCTTCCCCTATCCACCTCTCTTCCCCAAAGCGTGAAAGTTAGACAGCCTTAAGCGAAATGTGAACTTTCATATTTTCAATATACTCTTTTATAAAACGAATCTCCGTCACTCTGACCATTCTAAAACCCAACCGCTAATGTAAGCCTGATACACATACCAGCGCACAAGGTGCGCTGGTAAAACTGGTGGTTAATTAGATGGTCGTTCCATCCCTTCCGTTCCATCAAAAGAGAAAGTAAAATATCCTCGGGTTAACATGCAAACTTTCACAACTTCAAACGAACCTATTTATCTTTTTTTTTTTTCCAAAGTCGGTGCCTTTCTTCTATTATACTAATACCAACTCTCTAATTAAGCATGCGACAGCCGCAGTTCGCAAACTGGAAGTTCCAATGACGCCGGTATCCTTCCAGTAGCCAGTGGATAATGCGTTCTGAAAGAGCGAAAGTAGTGTTTATATACACCGCTGGTCGTTGTACGCTGTCACGGCACTCGAAATCGTGGCAGTCTCATTGCATTCATTAGCTCTGCTGCAGATATAAACTTCCTTGAACATCGTTAGAGTACAATAGCATTTAGAAAGGCCACTGAAGATAAACACTTCGGAGTTCTGCTTGGCGGTGAAACAATACTTTCTGATATTATCTTAAAATCAAGACGTTCATCTTCGTATAGTCCTTGCTTAAGGTCATTGGTAACAACTGCCAGTATGCTAATTTTAATAACTTTAAATAATTATATGCTTGGGATCCGCCCCGTCCTGAGCTTCTTAAGTTGTCGGTCAGTATAAGCAATGCTAGAAAGTCACTTACAAGCGTACAAAGGAAACATAAACCCCAAAGGCAATCAAAATCCAGCCTCTTTCTTTCAACCCGGAACACTTCGGCGCTTCTTTTGTGCATTTTTATAGCACGTACATTCAGGCTCTCGCTGTTATGTTCTCTATTGGTAGATTTCTGTCTTCTCCGAGGGTGGTGTACACAGCATGCAGTATTTCGTAAAAGGCTGTTTGGAAAACTGGTAGTTGGCTCGCTATTCTTGTTCGCCATGTTTCTCTTGGTTTCTGTGCGTTCGCCGACTCCCCACCGCCCTCATCTTAAAGAATATGAAAAATAAATCCTTTCTTCGTCGTAAAATTACAGCAATGACAAATTCTACGGAATAGGGTACACTCTAGAGGAACAAATACAGGCACTCCTAGTTTCTCGTGGGCCACTCAGGAAACCGAACACAGGGCTAAAAAAATGTTAAGAAGTGCGCTTCTCTATTCACGAATTCTCGAAGAGATCCCAATTCTTACTGGGTTCTGCTCCACCGGGCGTAAATTTCACGGTGGCAGCATCGCCTTTGCCCCGGTAACAAAAAAAAAAAAAAAGCGTCCCGTGAAGCTCTTTGAGGCAATTACAATGAGGGCTCGAGATCTCCATGGAAGGTTTTCGTCGTACTTATTGAAGTTAAGTTGGAACAGCGGGCGTTTCACCTTAGGATAGACCGCAGGAGACACTATGTGCCATCCTGGCCAATCCAACGCTGTGATCATGTCACGTGACTAAGCACTCCGCAGTGCCTCATGAAGGTCACGTAATACACACGCTGCAATTGGACTGGCTTCGAGGAGTCGATAGCCTCCTCTTCGGTTCATCGTAACGTCAAACGAAGCGTGGAAACAAATAGTCTCCTTGAAGCCCCAGAATGGCGGCGGACGATTCGAAAGGACATAGCTCTTAAGATTCTGGGTATAGTAGTGAACCAACGGATGTCGTTCTGGAAGTGCCATCAGCTTCCAACTTGGCTTTTGTAAGGACACACGCAAATCACCGTAATCTACTGTAGTGTATTTTTGCGCATCCGTAGAAAGTTCGGACTCAATCTGTACTTACTGCACTGAAGATCAGGTAGCGGAAGGGATGGCGCAGTGGCATTTCTTTTCTTCTGCAGATGTGACTTCAAGTGGAGTCAAAGCAGCCCGTTGCCCATATTCATGTGACGGCGACACTGAAAAACAAAGACAAGAAAAAATTCTGCGTGAGGACCGGGAGGATGGACGCAAACTCCAGTACGTCAGAAAACCTTGGAGCGCGCGAGCATGACTATATTTATATATTTATTTATATTGAATATAACGCCAGTAACTCTAGGAAGACATATAGCACTCCGCCTATCTATTTTGAAATGGAGCCGGAGACGTATCCAGTAACAATGCTATTAAAGAAATTATTTATCATCTATATAATGTTACCATTTTGTTGGTGGCCACAAGCCACGCTCAAACAAGAGGCTTGTGCAAACCTTTAATATGCCTATACTAATATTAAAGTACAAAGGGATGCTAATGAAGAGATGATTCTTGAAGATATTTTACTTTAAAATTGCCCTCCCTAAAGAAACACGACTTTTGCAACCGACACGTGATTTTCCCTATACTTTTACCGAAGTGGATTGTCTGTTGCTCGAGGTTGTTCGTATGAAACATCTACAATGGAGGACAATTGCCGACATCAGGCGTGAAAACGCATGGCCAGCATTCCCCATTTGCCGGTATGCACGTACCATTACCGAATTAAGAAAGCCAAAAATACTTATACAAACGTGTAAAACTTATATCTGGCACATTCCAGCTATTTGAGTGGGAAAAAATCTTTTCTTGGAAGCTTAGGATATCCTCTTTACGCGTTTTACTCAAGCTACACTCCCCAGTCCACAGCATAAACTATGCAGCCGTCAAACTATATTAAGAGGAAAGACTCGCCTTCTCTAGGAAACGTAATGCTAACTGTTAAAAATTCCACATTTTGCATGTAACAGGCAGAAACGACCAGGCGAAGTCAAATTAGGTATCATTAGCGTGAGCAGGGAATGCATATAATTGCGTCGGTAGTTTGAACTAGCTAATATTTAAAAAAAAAACCGGGTAGACTGCATTCCTCATAACACCATTCGTTCAACGCCTTTGTATTTTTTTTTTTTTTTTACATCGTGTAAAGTCGCAGAGCAAGTCCAGTTCATTGAACATGTTTTCATATGCCGTACGAAACGGTACGTGGTGTGCTATGCTGCTGTTGTTGTTTTTTTTTTAATGTAGTATTTGTGCGTTTTTATTTTGACGAAAATGACCATACCTACACTGATTGTGGATGTGTATTTTCACGGATAGTTGGCATAGCTCATTTCAGATGGCGCATTATCTCTAAGTATAACCCCCTTTATTAAATTATACGGCGTTACAACCTGCACTTTTTTTTTTTTTGTAGAGTCAGACAGAAAGATAATGACAGCTCGCGTCTACAAGAAATGTACAATAGTACATTTTTGTAGACCGGAAATTTCCTCAAAAACAACCACTCTTGGATTCCTTTTTGCTGAACAAAACCGAAATATATATTTTTTTTCTCTCCGAGCACTTCCACACACACTCTTTTCCTCCGCGCAATAAGACTAGACTAACCCAGCCGTAACTCAGAGTGCCCATTATGTTAAACTCAATGTCGCAGAGCACTAAAAGCTTCACTCACACACACAAAAAAAAAACAAAAAAAAAACCTGTACATCGTTTCTTGTTAAGATCGTCCGCCATAGACTGAACTAAGTGCCTATTCGACATATCCACCGAAAATGACTTCCCGGCCTTCTGTATTGCCTTCAACTACGCTCTTGATGCCCATGAGGGGACTTGACTTTTTCGTGTGCTGTATAGAATAGTGTATCGATCTAGGGACCACTTTGCCTAATTTCAGGGAACTTGAATTTCACAGCGGGATAACAAACGAAGACGTGCTTGCGCCGTGTACATGGCATACGCGCCTTTCTGTAGAAAAAAAAAAAAAAACAACATCGACCTCATTTGCTTTGGTAAACACCCTAGAAAGAGTCTGCGAGCCTATTTTGCCGCAAAATCTCGGAGCTATTTGCAACGATCCACTAAGAGAGCGCGAGGCAACAGCGATGAATAAGAGGGCCAAAAAACACAATGTAAACTACGATGTGTCCCTGAACACAGAGTGTCACGTGATCAGGTAAGACCTTTTTGTTGATCGCTACTGTTTTGTGCGAGGCCCTGACAGAAGTACGCGAATTCGTACTTAATGCGGATTACTTTGCCGCAGCCCTAAAAACACATCGACAGATACATGCATCCACTTGATTGCCGAATCCGTGGAAAGTTTCGTTGCTATTCGCAATGCTTCGTTCCGCACGGGAAACAAGACCCTTAAGGCCGGTTCACACACTTGCGGGAGTTCGACCGAGTGCGGCTGTAACGGCTGGAACGACGCAGCTCTTGCCATAGCAACCCGCGCACTCGGTCAGACTCATTACTAAGAACATCTTAAGTTCAATAGCACTTCTGGGCGAAACCCTCGCACATTTGCATCCGCATATATGTTTGTATACCCAACAAAGCAGGTGGCGCACATCCGTTACGTACTTACTTGAATTAGGCACACAGAAGATAATGCGCCCAGTACATGTGATTCGATATATTAGGTTCCGAACAGCAAATAAAGTTACCAAGTGTAAGTTGGAGGAAGTGTAAGGTGTTTGAACGGCGCCTCCTCGCCATTGAATAAGTGTGTCGAAGGTTCGTTCGCATGCTTGGCAAACGCCGTGAGATGTGCAGCATGAATCGGGGTTCGAGTAACCGTCCTTATTCGCGCACACGTTTTCAATACCGTGCCTGCGCGGGAGCCCAAAAGCGATAGTGGCCCTGCAGGATATGCAAGTAACCTGAGTGAACGCTTAACCCCCCTCTGGAATTTTTAGACATCTCTCTCTTTTTCCACTGTAACCAAGAGTCTAATTATATCATGATATACATGTTATGTTTATATAGTAAAAGGGAAAAAAAATTGATGAGAAATAAAGCTAAGACAAAAGTCGTTGGTAGGTCGTGAGAGATCAACGGAGGGGAAGTAGACAGTTATATTTTAAAATTGTTTGAATTGGGTTTAAGTAAGATAACACACTTCATGGACGTCGGCAACAATATTCCTAGAAATCGCGCAGCCATCCTTAAGTGTTTTAATAACGAAATATTTTAGAAGTATAATACGGTCCAAGGTGCCATATCATTTCAAGGACAATCGGCGCAGCGATTTCGACATCACTATTTCGGATGTTATTAAACCATCACAAATTACCCTCAGACCTGTAGACCTCACTCTACCGACCTTGTTCGCCTCGTAATCTACCACATTATCTACAGTCTTAAAGCGAGACCTTTAAGGGGCGACACTTAACAAACTTCTCAGCCTCGTGGGCTGTCGTTGTCGCGCATGCGAAGAAAGAAAAAACTTTTTTTCTCTCCCATCTTTGCGCAAGGAGAGGGAAGTCGGGACTTCCCGTCGGCCGTGCCACTCCAAGAGAGCGAAGAGGGCAGCCCCAGCGTCCCGCCAAGAATGGCGCCGACGATGGGAGAATCTTTGTGTCGTCTGATTCACAGTTGTTTCCAAACATTGCTCGGGTTATGCGAAATTCCACTTTGACAGTATGCAGTTGCTGCGCGTAATGTCGGACTTTCCTAGAAACTCCCACCGCGCGTATACCCCCATTGACGGATCACCGAGCACTGGTGGCGGTCGTCAGTGGCATCCACGACGGCAACCACGACGGCTGTGAGAATAAACCACGTCGCCCCTCCGTGCTCCGTTACGTGACGTCACCATCCCACCCGCGTTGCTCAACCGTGCTACACCTATCGTTTTGGTTTCTTCGCACAATGTAATCGAAAAATATGACTTTTAGAATGCCACTCCCCACCCTCAACATTTCTCGTTATCCTAGTTAATTTTGGTATTTATCTGATACTGACAACTGGTAAAAGAGAGCAACTAGAAGGATCATCTTTCCAACGGCTAAATGAAGTTGACCAACTGCCGCGTACACGTAGACATCACAACTACACTCAGAGAATTTATCGGGGCAAAACATACCCAGCAACGACACGCAAGAATGATTCAAAGAATCAGTCGCAAGAATAGAGAAGGACCTGAACAAAAGGAAAGGGCCACAAAAACAACGGACACAGGCGAACACGAGGAACAATGAGCTACACAGAACAAAGATCAGAGAAACATATCGGCCCACCGAAGAACAAACGCTGGTTCCTCGGTTGATTCCTCCGCCCCTTCTTTCTCCTTCAGTGCCCACTCGACTCCCAATATCTTTGAGAGGAACAGCCCCGAGAGGAGCACGGTCCAGATTTTCGCAAGACCCCAGAAACAAGAGCGGCTCTGCTGCCTTACAAGGACGCCTAGTTCGGTTTGATATTTTCGCCTTTGTTGATCCTGGGGCAGTCCTGGCATCATCCACTCCCAACCGTTACCCTGTCTACACTCTATGACTCCTTAGCCCGTCTTTTTTTTATTTTTTTTAGCTGTTTCTTTGGAGGGTCGTTGTCGGCTTCTGACGTGTCTTCAATCGATTACCAGGAGCCCCGGCTAACAAGGCCAGGACAGTGTAGTGGCCGTTGCTCATTATGCAAGGTTGAGCCCGCTAATTGGGTTAGGTATTCCACCCTTCTTGGGTCTTCGACAGGATCGCGAGACCATAGATGAGTTCGTTTGTTTGTCTTTCCATGCCGCAGGTTTTGTCAGTTGACCACAAGAGCAAAATAATTCAGTTTTAATCACGTCTTTGGCGCACTTTTTTTTTTTTTTTTATTCGGCGTTTAGTTTATCTTTGATAACGAGACTTCCGAAATCATTTTTTATTTTGATTCTCGGGTTTTGAAGAAGCTTAACTATCTTCGGGAAATCTTAGGCCGCTGCTCTAAAACGCACATAATGCGCTTTTATTTTTTTTATTTTTTTTACGATACGGTTCATTTCATGGCACGTTCATTTAATAATACGGGTTTTAAACCGAGGGACAGGATGAGATGAAAGCGCGGTGGGAAACATCAGAATACCGAGCTCTGGCTGGATTG